TTTGTGGACGTGTCGTGCACAGTAACGTTCATTCACATTGACTTTCACCCGTTGACTATACTGATCTCTCCCCTATATAGCAAGTAAGCTTTACTTCTGAACAATTTATGCTCCATACATTTGTCATTTTGGAAACCATATCTTTGACATTTACCAAGGCTTTCTGATGATATTAGATAGTTGGAGGCAATGGGCCACAGGAAGCCTCGCCAGGACCTTCGTTTTGTGCTAGTGGGCACTCGTCAGTAAGGCGTATCTGCAACCTTGAAGGAACTCATGTCCCTCCTGAGATTCGAACTTGCGTCACTCAGAGACGTTACCATTGAGCTATTCGGGCTCGCGATTGACTTCCTGTAGGACTGTAGTGGGTAGTTTGATTGGACACTAGTAACTAGTATCTAATAGCATGAAATCAACGCGCACCGTGATGGCGAGCTACCTGGAATGGTGGTCACATTGCAAACCTGACTTATAGAATTCAGTCAGCATCAAAGAATGCACTAGACACGTCACACCAGCAACTAATGTCCAATAAAACTATCAAAGCTTTCTCTAAAGAATTAGACGGCTTGACATAACTTTATTATTTTATGGACCAAGTAGTCTTTGAATTATTTTGAGCTATCCACTTTCGATATGGAATGGTCATTGTCGATCGATAGCCAAGATTTTTCAATTTTCTCTTTCTTTTTTTTCTTTTTTGTCCTTTCCATTGACAATATTATTTAGTAACTTTTTAGGATAACTATTTCCAAACAAAATTTGTTTTATTCTGGAGATCTCATTCTCCATACCATGATTATTTGTTATAATGTCTTTAGCTCTGTTCTAACGAGATTTAAACCTACTGAAACTTTCATTCTTATTTGATGACCTGATTGGAAATTCAAATAATTCTTTGAATGTATGGAGGATTCAATCATGAGCTGACATCAGATAGAGAACCATTGGAAAACCTGGGAGTACTGAACAGCTGTTTCGTCCTAGTTTGGGACTCCTCAGTAGTACACACCCATCGGGATTCGAACCCAGGACCTTCCAGTTACAAGGCGAGCTCGTATACCATTAAGCCACTGGAACCCGATCCAATGGTCCTTGAATTCTAACTTCTGCCAATTCACGACATAGCGCGACCACTTCGCAATGTCTTCTTCGATGAGTTACTGCCTCATCTTCGACCTGCTGTACCCTACTGGTCACGGCTTCTTTAACTGATGTCAGCTCATGATTAAATCCTCCATACAATCAAACCAAATCCCTACAAAACCAACACTTGAAAATTCTTTGAATGTATCTCAGTTTCACGTGCATCGTGAACTGTAACATGTTTCCTATGCAACAAACAACATTCACACGCACACACTCACACAGACAAATATACACGTGTAACATATTAAATTTGTTAGTCATTACAAATATGTGATGACTGTTTACATTTTTTTTTATCAGTTTGTTTATTAGACGTATCACACAGTGAGTGAAACAGGATCACTGTTTACTGGATGACAAAGTTTCGAACAAAATTTATTTATTGTTCATAATCATTTCATCAATTATAATCACAAGACTTCGACACTTGAGTTTTATAGTTTTCTTTGTCCTCTCCTATTTGTTGTCGTTGGGGTAGTAGAATTTTCCAGATATCCGACTGGATAGGTGTTGAATCATTGCTAATACACGTATTCACTCTCAGTTGATTCGATAAGCAAAGCTTCTGTTATCAATCTCTCCCTCCACCCTGTCAGTTGCATTAGATTTTAAAACTGTCTTCCTAGTGTATGGTTGTGTGTAATTGCATGTGGTGAGTGGTATAGCTGAACTATTCTCTAGATTTCTTATCTTATTCGGGTCAACCAATCTAGATTTCGCTGATAGGTTTTTATGTTCGGCTAGTCTGACTCACTGCCCCTGTTCTACTAGTTTGACCTATGTATTTCACCTGATAATAATTCAAGCAGGGTATTAGTTACACTAAATTTTTTTTTGTTTTAAAGGCTCCACAGGATTGATCCTTTAACCCACAAAGCTTGTTTCTAATTGAGTTTGTGGTTGGTTTAAATGCCGGCCACTTTTATTCCTGTCTGAATTGTTAAGAATTCTGCGTAAGGTTTACGAGGTTCCTTCCTTGTATGGAATTACTAAATCTAAATCGTCAGTAGTAATTAATTACACACAACCATACAGGAGGCTGGATGGGATAAGATGACAGTTTTAAAATCTAATGCAACTAACAGGGTCGGAGGGGAGATTGATAACAGAAGCTTTGTTTATCGAATCAACGGAAGAAAAGACGTGTAATAGAAATGATTCAACACCTGTCCAGTCGGATATCTGGAAAATTCTACTACCCCAACGACGACAAATAGGAGAGAAGAAAGGAAACTATAAAACTCAAGTGTTGAAGTTGTGTGATTATAATTGATGAAATGATTATGAACAATAAATTTTGCTCGAAACTGTCATCCAGTAAATAATACTGTTTCACTCACTGTGTGATACATCTAATAAACAAACTAATAAGAAATTTATTCTTTATTCTGCCCTATTTGTCATCGTCGTATGGGTGGTAGAATTTTCCACCTGTCTGCATGGACAGGTGTGTTGAATCATTCCTATTACATGTATACTCTGCAGTTGATTTGGTGAGTAAAGCTTCCAGTTATCAAACGAAATTATTTTTGATCAAAACACTTGAACATGTGACTACAGTGCCGCTCTAGAACAGATAATTCTAGCAGTACAGCTCCACCTGACGAAATATACATATAAACTGAGGGAGTTGCCATGGAGTCAACAATATCCCTTATTATGACAGAAATATACATGAATAGGTTGGAAAAGTTAGCGATTGAAATGTTCAGCGCCACCCCATAAGTATGCTGGAGGTATGTAGATGACACATTCACTGTACACATAGAACACACGACATAAATAGATTTTGCAAACACATCAACTCGAAGGTAGAAGCAATTCAATTCATTTGTAAATTAGAAAGTCAATAAGGGGAAGGAGCTTCCAATGTTCTAGAGTAGAGTAGAGTAAAAGGGGAAGAAGATGAGGAGTTAAACAGTAGTGTTTACAGAAAACCCACACATTCAAACTGATATTTGGATTTCCGACCATCTCATTCCATTGTCAGGAGGAACAGGATTGATGAAATGCCTAAGTAATAGGGCGCCAAAACTTAGTAGTAACAAGGAAAATCTAAGACAGGAAGTTAAGGAATAAAAGAGAAGCTATGAAACTTAATATTTACCCTGATAAATTGATCAAGAATTATGTCTGTCTGTTTTCGATGTAGAACTTTGCACATATGTGCGATAGTTCAAGTCACCACACTCCCTCCTTGCACCACACAAAGCAAGAGAAGAAAATGAAAGAAATGCATAATAGAGACAGTAAACAGAGGTGTAAGACAAAGGAATAGTAATAACGAAGAACAAAACCGTTTCATTGGAAATTATAAGTCACAAGGAGTGGATGCATCTGTGACACTGAGAACGATTTTGAGCCATCGTCGGTCGAGGAAGGCGATGACTAGGCATACGTAACACATGTCTTAACCATCTCAGTCGACTGATTTCCCCTCCCACCTACCTACCTAGCACTCGACCGATGCATAACCTCAATATTGCTCACCTTATTATACCACTTCACACGGGAAATAGAACACAGGCACCTATGATCAAAGACAAATAATCTTTTAATGTCTTCCACTCTCAACGGCCAGGTCTCACAGCTAGCGATAAAGGAGGACGGAGCGGACTGATGAGCAGTGTAGAGATAAAATAAATAATAATGATAGTAATTTTAACGATAACCTGCATGTCAAACATGCACAGGATAATGACAACACTGACAATAGGCAGTATAAATCGCCATCAAGTAGTACTTCCATACAAAGAAGAAGGAATCTCGAAAACCTCGGGAGAAGGAGAATTCTTAACAATGTAGGCAGGAGTGAAAGTGGCTGGCATTCAAACTGCCACAAATTTAATTAAGCGATTAATCCTGTGGAGAGGCAATTACACAAAACAATTTAGTTTATCTAATACCCTGTGTCTGCAATGATTGTCAGGTCAAATTATTGCACAGGTCAAAGTAGTAGAACAGGGTCAGTCAGTGAGACTAGCGAAGTACAAAATCCAAGCAGCAAAATCTAGATTAATTGACTCGAATAAGATAAAAAAATCTGAAGAATAGTTCAGCTTTAGCACTACACCACATGCAGTTACACATAACCATTCAAAACAGGCTGGATGGGATAAGATGATACTTTTAAAATCTAATACAACTAACATGGTGGAGGGAGAGATTAATAACTGTAGCTTTATTTATCGAATCAACTGAAGAGAATACATGTAATAGGAATGATTCAACACCTGTTCACCTAGACATTGGGAACATTCTACTATCACCCGCTCTACGAGGACGAACAATAAAACTATAAAACTCAAGTTTCGAAGTTGTGTGATTATAACTGATGAAATGATTATGAATAATAAAATAAATTTTGTTCGAAAGGCATCGTCATCCAGTAAATAATAATACTAATAATACTGTCTCTCCATTGTGTGATGATATATCTAATAAACAAATTAACATAGAATTACATACTACCACAGTACCCAAGTGTTACGCATATATCACAATAGGATTGTCTTCAAAATCTACTAAATGGAAGCCGTCTCTCTCCGATCGGACGACTAGTGCATGTGAATTACAAATCAAAATATACAATCATCGGGGGGGGGGGGTAGAATGACTTCCTTGAGGATTAACGACATTAAATAAACAAAAAAAAACTGAAGGAGAAAACAGGATTTTCAAAGTTTATTAATATTATTACTGTTATTATTATTATAATTATTAATAATATGATCTGCGAACTGAATAGTACTAGTAAGAAAGATTATTAAAAACAGAATAGTGTGCAAACATTTGACAGGACAGTTGATTATTTATAAACACACAGAGAAAAGGAAACACATGAATCATACCTCTTCGCCCTAAATGAAAAACAACAGCGTAAGGTTTGTAACGAAAACACTCATTATAAGAGCAAAATATAAATAAGATATGAGTAATATAAACAGTTTATAGGGCTGTTTGTAGGATGTAATAATAATAACAGTGATGACAGGTAAAATCCGAATACTACCGACGATATTCTGCACCTTTATTTCACATGAAGATAAGTCCGGATAAAAAGAAATCTAACGGTGATTTACAACACAATAACACCATACTTAGATATATATTTTTTAATATAACTTTACTTTCCCCCTAGGGAAATTATAGGGATTCAAGCTAGAGGCCTGAAGTTTCGGTAGCAGTGGTGCTTTTTTATTTTTACGGCATACGGTTGCTAGCCACATGCCCTCCCCCAACCTTCACTCTTCACCAGTCTAATTACTGGCTTATCGAGGTGAAGCAGTGCGTCGGTAGCCGGGGATCGAACTCCAGACCACATGAGGCGTGGTTGGCGAGCCATTCTACCACTGCTGTGCCACCGACGCACAGCATACCTTGATTGGACACCAGTGTAATTAGTGTGATGTGTCTAGTCCTTTCTCTGGTGCAGACTGAATTCTCCAGTGGTGATGCGAATTTGAATTACAGAGAAGACATGAGTTCCTTCCTTGAAGGTTAGAGATACGCTGCCTTGCTAACTGGTGGTGGTGAGTGCTAACTGGCACGAAACTTAGGTACTTATCGGCAAGACTTCCTGTATCCTATTGCCTTCAACCACCTAATATATATATCATCAGATCAACGTGCACTGAGATGACGAGTTACCTAGTGGTATGGTGGCCACAATGCAAACCTGACTGACTGATATAATTCACTCTACACCAGAGAAAGGATCAGACACATCATACTAGTTACTAGTGTCCAATCAAAGTATCCGATAAAGTCCTACAGTAGGTGAATCGTGAGCCCAAATATAGTTGCTCAGTGGTAACGTCTATGAGTACAGGGCTGCACTGAGTGGTAACGCAGGCTGGAATCTCAGAAGGGACATGACTTCCTTCAAGGTTGCAGATACGCCGCCTTGATGAATGACAGTGAGTGTCAACTAGCATGAAACCTAGGTCCCGAGATGGCTTCCTGAAGCCTATTGCCTCCAACCATCAAATGTCATCAACAATATCCCCGTAAACAATTTCAACGCTGTAAAGAACTGCCCTTCAGAGGAATGAATGACAGTTATCATTGTTTTTTGTACACACAGGAGAAGAAGAAGAAGAAGTGCTATCATGGACGACTTAAATACATCTCATCAATTGTTGACATATCAGAGTAGACACAGTCTGTATAAGAGGCAGTAGCAGATGAGTTGCAATGCCTATCACAACTACTGATCATTCTCAACTCACTCACCTTAAATAGTATACTGCTAACAATTTTATCAAGTACTTAAACAACTGTTAGCTTTATATGTGTTAGGCAAAAGCACATGTCAACTCTAACGGTTTATACAACAAATTTACATGTATCTGCGGAAGCAGTTATATTGGAAGGACAGAAAGAAGAAGGGCATATCTACGAATTTCTGAACATGTACCAAAAAGCTTATGTCCAAAAGGGAACAAACGTTTTCACACTGTCACCGCCACCAGGTGTCTCCTTCACACGGGTCATGAGGTGGACGTCGAAAAGTCGTTCAAAATTATTAGTAGGCAAGAAAAAGCTCAATTCTCCTTAAGTTTGCTGAAGCAGTCATTTCCATCAAGCGCCTGAGATCTGATTTATGCGTCCAGAAAGAAGCGGTTATCAAGTCTTTCTTTGCCCAACCTGGGTAACTGGATATTCTTCATCTTTCTTTCATCCTAATGAGAAATGCTGAAAAGTTTCCATTGTGTACGATTATTACTGTTCGGAATAGTGTTTAATATTATGTATACACATGCATATATTATTACTGTATGCATATACTGATCGATAGGTTTTTGTTTAAGATGAACTCTGTGCAAGTATGTTTAAATTGTTTCTGTAGATATACTTAATAATGTCTTTGACCTGTAAGCAGCTGACGAAAAGGCAACGAAATAAACAAAGGATGGTACCAGTTTATTCTGCTAAAACCGCTGTTGTTCTTGTCTTGTTTAAATTCATTAAGGGGGATAAATGTATGAAAAAGCACATGTGTTATAACATGTTTTAAGTAAAAAGGAATAAAAAAGAGAGAAAAGGAAAGGGAAAAAAGAAAATGATATGAGTTGGAAAGACGAGATCCAGTTGTTCTACTGACAATTTAATGAGTTATAGGTATCACGCCTAATGCTTTCTTTATCGCACAGAACACGAGCTAAGTAGGTAGGGTATGATTGAGTTTTTGTACTTCCTAGTGCGTGCATATAGTTTTGTATATAGGCTTCTGGTTCTGCCTGATCAGATACAAGGAGAGAGTTGTGAATAATGAGGGTGGTGTGAGTTAGACAGATAGACTGGATTTAGCCCATTTTTCACATGAGTCTGTCTGTCTGTCTAGCTTCAACATAGAACTTGGCACCGAAGTGCACCAGTTCGAGTTGCCGCGTTCCAAATGGCACACAGAGGTAGACAAGAAGATGAGTGAAGAGAATCAATAGAGTTTGACAAGTATAAGAGTGAAACAGATTGGGTAATGGTAGAAAGGAATATGAAAGATTACAGAGACTGAATACATCTGCGCTGGCCATTGACAACGATTTTGAGCCATGTCACCTATTGTCTCCAGCCATTGATTCCTAGAGTCAGTCCCGAGGACCCCAACCCGGAAGTCTGCATCTCCCTACCTGACCGACTCAGTTTAACTGTCAAGGATTTCATGGATTGATGAGGCCATGTTTTTGTTTGGCCACCACTGGGGGAGGCGGTGGTTAGGCATGCGCAGCACGTGACCTGAATATTAACAAGCTGGTTAAGTGGGACGTTGCTTACCCTGCTGACAACCTTTAACACCCTACGTTATAAGATATAGTCTTTCTTCAGTAGCCCTGGAAAAACTAGGGGGGAGGACAATAGAGAATAATAGGCAGGATGCAAGAGTTAACGAAACGTAGGAGTAGGGGTTGGGTTATTCCAGAATGTTTTAACTTCTTGATGTAGAAGGTGAGACGGAATATTCTCTTAGAAATCATCAAGATATGAGATGACCAGGATTAAATTAGAAGTAAACTAAAGATGGAGAAATTAAGAAGTGAAAATTTGATTACAGCTTTTGTTGACTATCACCACCTCTCATACTCATACATATTCAAGCAGCATTGTTCCAACACCAAGCGACACACAAATGACGATGTCAAAGCCAGCGTGCGAAAAAGGAAGATATATTTTCAATTAATCTGAAGTCGGTGTGAAAATCTGCCGCACTCAGTAGTGGTAAAGAACAAGGTGCGCGGGGGGGAGGGGTTAATACTCATGTTGTCAAGTCAGTTCTTCTATAAATACATCAGGCGCTTGGTACGGGAGTAACCAAAAATAAACAACGTCTTCAACGACATCAAATTCACAAAAGAAGAATCCAAGAAAACCAAATCCCATTTTTGGATGTCTTAATCAAACGAACAACCAGAGGGGAATTAGAAACTCAAGTTTATAGAAAATCAACCCACACAAAGCAAATCCTGAATTAGAACAGTAACAATCCAATAACACACAAAAGGAATTGTATACAAACATTATTCAAGACAGCCAGCCACGACTCATTGCAGCACTCCCACCTACCTCAAGGAAAATTGAAGAAAGATATCTCATACACGTCTTCCAAAAGAATGGATATCCACGAAATTTCATCAAGAGACATATACACCCCCCCCAAGTCAACCTATCAAAGCAAAAGCCACCAAGGAAAGCACAAAGAAAATCGCCTTACAATACATAAAGGATATCTCAGAAATCACTACAAGACCCTTCAAATCTTTAGGAATTGACGTCGTACACAAACCAACAAAGTCACTTCAATCAGCTGGCTTTATGTCAGCCAAAAGACTCAACAGCGAAAGAAGATGAAACCAACATCACCTACAAAACAAATTGTAACAACTGCGAAAAACACTACATTCGCCAAAGTGGACGTCCCCTTCGTCTTCGTATCCATGAACATAAGCTGACCATCAAAAGAAATGATATCCACTTCCTCATATCACTACATACAGACAACCACGGACATCGATTCGACTGGGACAACCAACGCTTAAACATTAGACAGAGGAAACACCAAGAGTGCTAGAGAATTTTTAGAAGCCTGCCTGGTATTCCAGTGAATCATCAATCAATAGACACATCGAGATAGACAAAATTTATCAACCGATAAGAAAGAAACCTCACACACAAAGGGTCAAAGTTCAAGTCAAGGCAACAGTCAGTTCCAATACAAGTAGAATAGAAGGTGTGAAAACACACAAAAACAACCATTCACGTTCAAGATGGTCACCGACCAGGAGAGATGATTAATAAACTCGTGAAGAAATCTAAAAGCTCACTTCAACAAACTGAAGTGTGCGTTGAAGATGTCGCCTAGTAGGACGTTGAAAGCTTCGCAAATTAACTATCCAGCTCAGAGAATACAATCACATCAAAAAGTAACCTAAAGTATTTCCAACATGTTTCTGACTATTATCAAAAGATGACAACCTTCTCTGTCTTTATACTGGTGGATTAGATGACGAGAAAACATCAGCAACAAGGAACTAAACCAGGCGACGAACCACATTATGTTCCACTCGGAACCCAAGAGAATAATAATCATAATGATAACAGCAATAACAATCAGCAGTTAGAGATTATTGGCTTTAAACTGAACATTACTCAAGAAACTATTCATCAGTATTTGTCTTTATCCGATTTTCGAATACCATAATAATCTTCACTTGGGCATCTAGTGCGATTCTTGTTAATTTTGATATCACGTGTTGATTTGCAGGCATTTGATGATTGGTAACAGGATTGATCACAAACTGATATCCTGGGTTCGAACCCCCTGTGGTGGGGTGCATACTAATGAAGAGTCAGTTTTTCAACT